CTGTAGTCTAATTATTTCCAATGCCCGCACCCCATGCGCTAAAGCACGTGTAGCGGGATACTGCACCCCTCGCAGCGTCAGTGAATTTCTCTGTCGCCAGGGCGGAGCGGAGGACGAAGAGGAGGAGGAGGAGGACGAGGAGCTGGAGGTGGCGGCGGCGGCGGCGGGGGCGGGGGCGCTGGAGGCGGCCGACTGCCTGTTGGAGGAGGGCGGCGCTGGGGAAGGGAAACTCCGTGCAGGAGCCACCGTCTTCCGGGGCGACGCCAACTGCACCGAGTGCAGATGCCAGGTAGTGTCTTTTTTTTCGTTATTAAGCTCGCATCAATATCTATATTGCGAATAATACTTCTGCCCACTTGGCAGCTCCCGGTTGACAGCGGAGAGGGGTTTTCGTTATCCAATCAGAGGCTTCAAATTTTGATGTCACTACCGAGTTGCCGACGTTTACTAAGAAAAGATGAAATCTCCGAAAGCAATATATATATATATACATATATATATATTACTTGTAACACAAAGTATATGTACATCATCGTTTAAGTACTATCACTATATATATATATATATATATATATATATATATATATATATATATATAGTGATAGTACTTAAACGATGATGTACATATACATTGTGTTACAAGTATATCTACCTTAAAATCCATTTCTAATGTTTATATTTATGCTAATGCATTCGTTAGGACACATCCTTGTATACGTATGTAAAGTTCACGTAAAATCAATAATTTAAAAAGCATTGCGACGGTTTGTAATTGTGAACGTTCCGTGAAAAGTGTGAACTCAAACCGAGTTCTCTAGTTTTGATATTCATCTCTTATAAATATTTCATAATACTATGCATCTTAGTTCCAAAAACACGTCTCGCTGTATTTACTTTTCAACTGCTTAGCGCGTGTTGTGCGAAACCTATTCGTTATTCCTTGTTATTGGCGGGATTAGTGTAAGGGACTGTGATAAATGTGTGTAACAGTACGCCATGAAACAAACTAGTGTCGTTTTTTCAATTCTACCACAAACACAAGTTGAAGGTGTATGACGCAACTAGCTAATTAAATACTGACTCCGGCCGCGGAAGCCTACGCTCTCAACTTCCACGGCCATTGACCCCGTTAGTGTAGTGAATGTTTTAATTCTGTGAATTGGTGGCGATTCCCCCCCCCCCCGTTGGATGGATTGAATAATTCATTAATGATTCCTGGAGCATCAACAGCTAAAGTCGTTAGTTCCGTAAGTAGAGTCCATGTTTTATCTCGGGGAGGTTGCAGTGGTTTTCCCACGCAGGACGGTGCGATCTGGCGCCGACGTACTCGGCGGCTTGGAGGATTTTCCCCAACCAGGTATCTCCCACCAGCGAGGCCCCAAACCAAGACGAGCCCTACGCTCCCGACTGGTCTCTTGACTTGCGTGGTAATGTAGTGACTGCAAGTGTGGAAGATGAAGAAGGTGTCGCGTGCGAACCGTGGCCCGTTTGTTAGGGAACTGCTCCAGCCTGGTGTTGATCGGAGAAACCACGGGAAACAACCCATCAGAGCAGCCGGTCGCTAAAATTCTCCTCCTGACAGCGACTGAATTCGACCAGGGCCCGGCGACTCCATCAAAATTGGGGACAAAGCTAGAGGTTGCTACTATAGGATCCGCTAGTGTCGCCGGATATAGCTGGTGGTAAGGGTCGCCAACTTTCGCATATAAAAATTGGTCAAGAAATGCGAATACACTTTGATTATGAGCGATTTTTGAAATAAATTACAAAAGAAGTGAAATACTGTGTGTTTATCTTCTAAAATTCATTTATTCATAATAATACACGCATGAAAGAAAAGCGGCGTGATCATTTGTATCAAACGCGTGCATTTGCGTCCCGAGAACCCACGCGCGTTTTAAATAACGTTGGTAGCAGTTCGTATTTTAGTTCGTGTAAGAACGTGATGCTCTAGAGCGCGCCACTGTAATGGTCCCCACCACGTTATATGGGAGTTATAGGGCCCTGATTCGACATATCAATGTAGCTACTGTCGAATATCCTGCCACCGACGGGATTCGAATCATAGGACCTCCCGGTCAGAGGCACTGCAGAGACAGCGCAATGCGGAACAATCTCTGCTGGTAGTCATTCTACGAATAAAATTGGAATGTTGTTGACAGTTCGCCGACACTCTTGCTTCGACATTTGCACAGCGTCGCCACCTCAACATTTAAAACAAACGAATGGCAATCAAATGACGCGGTTAATCAGCTGATTAACATTACACGTGTCGAATGTGAGGGGAACTGCAATAAGAGGGTAGTATCTTCCTCCACACTGGCACCATCCCAGGCGCAACAAGCTCTAAGCTCGGGCATACAAGTGTGTGTGTGTGTGTGTGAGAGAGAGAGAGAGAGAGAGAGAGAGAGAGAGAGAGAGAGAGAGAGAGAGAGAGAAAGGAGTGAGGATATGACAAGAAAGGAGAAGGAAATACCGCTCGCGGTCTTTGGCCCGTTTGTTAGGGTACTGCTCCGGCATTCGCCTAGTGTTGGTCGGAGAAACCACGGAAAACTACCCATCAGAGCAACCGGGCTTTAGAATTTTCTCCTCCATACAGTAGCTGAATTCGACGAATCCAGCTAGACAGTATGGGGACTCGTCCGAACTTGAACCCTAGCACGTTTCGGTCAGAAGCACTGCTGTGAGATCAGTCAATGCCCTGAGCCACCTTAACGCTCTCTAGGTATACGTTGAAGTGAACTACAGTAGGATATCGTTCTTTCCTCTCTTACGGCTTTGTGAATCGATGATTGATAATTATTAGGGAACGAAATTTATTGCAATAAAAATACCAAATTATGTTCCAAAATAAGATTTTTTTAATATTTAAAAAAATGCATTATTGTGTTAATTACTTTATTCAAGCATTTTCTGAACACAAAACGTCATCGATCAGTTCGGAATTGCTGAAAAAAGGTCTACTTCTGCAGCAGTAATTGGACTCTGGTCTTCACCACTTATAAACGTTTTATTGGAAATACAAAACACGTATGTAGTATAAACAATGTTATTTTCGTGGAGCCGATGCTCAATTGAATAGTAGAACATGTAGCCAGTGATGAATCCCGGAGTGGAGGGGGGGGGGGGGAAAAGAACATCCCTCCCCAAAAAAATCTCGATAAAACAATGATATGAAAGTAGTAGTTTATGCAATAACTTTATAATGTTAAGCTTTATTGCACGAGTATATGTTGTGAAAACGAGCGGCGTTAGGAGCAAGTTTTCAAATTTGTACGAATACAATACATAATCTAATACATCCTCATTTCTGCCATTAGAGACCAATTTATGAATTATTTTTTGCAACAGGAAAGGTCGTTTATGTTGTTGGTATAAAAAAAAAGTATTTGTTACGCAAGGGCCGTTTCAAACATGAGAAATCATGTGGCTGAAATAACTTCTGCTTCACAAAGTTCTCTCATTCTTGTTTCCAACTACTACGCAGCTTCTAAGACGTAGTGGGGGGTGTAAATTTCACAATTGATGGGGAAGTTTCTGTGGTCATACGAGTGCAGTTACATTGTGTTGTTTTGTAAGACAGATGATTCCAGAAGTACATATTGTAAACTTACATCTGAAACGTTCCTTTCGGCGTATATATTACAATGTAATGAAACATGTAAGAAGCAGTAAATAAAAGATGTAAAAAAATTGTAAAATAAAAACTGTACTAATTCAAGTAGAATATCTTGTAAAGTCTAAAAAAATATTATTGAAAGCAGGTTTCTTTTTATGTAAAAACATGAATTTACATGGAAATCCATTCCATGTTTATATAATCTGTTCATGGTTATATAATTCCATTCATTCCATATCATTCCGTGGTTAAATAATTTTATAATCGGTCCTTTCAAGTGTGTTATTGGCTATGACGGTTGAAGACGGCGTCGAATAATGGAAAATGTAACCTTTCGAAGCATTATAAGGGTTAGCGAGTTGTATGCAGTGGCAGTCACGTGTCACACTGGCAGGTTGATGTTCCCGGCTGATGCTGAATGGCTTGCCGCCGCACGTAGTTCTCCCCTCGTATTGAGAGATGTCGTTGGATGCGCAGGACGGTGCGTTGGTGTGCTCGGCGCGTCATTGCCCGGCTCCCCGCTGCGCCGCGCCACTGCGCGGACCTTGTTGCGCGTATTGCCCTGGAGACTGCGCTGTCGGCGGAACGGTGTATTTGGAAGGCGAACGTTTCGTCGACCCGTTGGATGCGTGTCGGGTGTGCACCTGCAAGGTGAGTTCCTGCATGTTGACAAAAACTATTGGCTGTTCTGGTAGACGGGAGGCCAGCAGAGGTGTTTACAATATTGTAACATTAAATTAATTTTTTTTACCAATATTCTTTCAAAAGGTTACACAGATGACAACTCTTGAATTTTTCCTTTACGTACGGAACATTTCAAAATAATGTTTGTAAGGTTTAAATTTTATTTTAAGAATTGAGTCAACCATATTCTTTTGTTTGGGTTTTAATTTTTTATATAAAACGAATAATAATTGTCTGCAGCCTTATTTCAATTGACAAATTTGCCAAAAGAATACGTACTAGAAGATTCACTGTAACTAATTTTCTAAACTTCGTTCATGATGGTCCAATAAAGTCGGTTGTGTATTGTATTGCAAACTTTCTCCTTTGCCTATCGACTTCATTGTAGTTCTTGTATCTTTATTCATATTGATGACGATTTTTTCAAAAGATCTATCATCCCATCAGAATGTACGTAATGAGAGTTGTGACAATAAGGAAAACAGATCTAAATTGTATAATCAACTCTAATTGTCTTTAACATTAGTCTCAAAGAAGTGTTTATATTTTGATGGTTTATGTTCTATTTTCAATATTTTGTTGCTATAATTGAAATAAAAGATGCATTTTTTTTTATTTCAATGTCTTACCACTATCGCGGTTAAGAGAAAGTTTTGTAGTGCTACACAATAGAACGGCGAATTTTCGGTAGAAAATCTCTTATCAAAGAGCCCTAGTAACGAAAAAGTAGATAAATCCAAATGCTAAATTTAGAAAAAGCTCTAAAACGTGGTGTAACCAGAATCCATGTTTTCTGAGACTTTAACACACAAAAAACGATTGACGGCAAAACATCTGTCCGTCCGTCTGTCCGTCCGTCCGTCTGCTCGTCCGTCCGTCCGTCTGCTCGTCCGTCCGTCCGTCTGCTCGTCCGTCCGTCCGTCTGTCCGTCCGTCTGTCCGTCTATCCGTCTGCTCGTCCGTCCCTCCGTCCGTCCGTCTGTCCGTCCGTCCGTCCGTCTGTCTGTCTGTCAGACCATCCGACCGGCTGTGAGCAACGCTAGCGGCTAAACCTTTCGGCCGATTTTCTCTAATATTGAGATTTCCCGATTGTTCTGATGGATGCCGCTTCCCCTTGAATTTGAAAATGATATTTTAATTGATGGAGGTACTTTACATGAAACCTCTGGGACATTTTTAAAATTTCCCAAAAAAATGGCTCCATCGTTTTTGATCAAATTTTGTTGTTGGGCAGTGTAAAAGATGTGCAAGAGAATAGTGCAGGATTCGTTTCTACGTTGAAAACTGGCTTTTCAAAAATTGCAAAAATTAATTATTTTTAGCCTTCCTACAACTAAATTATTAAAACTATCCCTCATTTAGTTAGGACAAAAATCTCTACCATCATAAAAATGATAGATCCATATTTCTTTTCCCTCGTCTATTAAAAACGAAATAAACAGTCCGTTTGCCGATGACCGAATGCTCTTTGCAAAAAAGAAACAATAAATAGTACGATTTCAGAAGTTTCACATTGGTTTTGTAATAACAAATTAATAGTTAATTATGTAAAAACAGTTTCGATGCATTTTTGCATTTCAAATCAGCAATGCATGCTCCATTGAAAATGAACAATATACAATTATCTGATGTTAAGGTAACAAAATTTCTAGGTGTCTCAATTCAGTCAAACCTCAACTGGAATGTACATATAACAGAATTAAATACTAAATTAAGTTCATTATGTTACGCATTCAAAATTCTTTCAAATTCTGTCAGTCTTCATGCAGTTCGTTATGTGTATTTTGCAAATGTGCATTCCCGCCTGAGATATGGCATACTATTCTAGGGAAGCTCATCATGTAGTATCCAAACCTTTAGATTGCAAATGAAATTTATTCGAATAATGAAAAACTGTCATCCGTGTGATGCCTGCAAGCCTCTCTTCATTGAGCTTGGAATCTTACGATTGCCTTGCCTATTTATTCACGAATCTGTAATATTTGTCAAAAGTGACTTACTTAACGGTTTGAACTTACTTTTATGCAGTATTGATGTTTATAGCTACAACACACGTCGTAGAAATCACATTCATTGTCAGTATCAATAGCTCACTATCAAAAATCCACATGCAATACATGTACATTTCTTTACAACGCCAGATGATATTAGACAACTGAAGTCGGTACACAAATTTAAGTTAAAAGTAAAATATTTTCTGCTACATTCTATACAATTAGAGACTATACTGACCAACAAAAGGAAAAATTATGTTTATTTAACAAAATAGTGATATATAATGAATTAGTTTACATTTGTATTGTTTTTTAGATTTAATATGTTGTTTAATAAGCTTGTAACAAATAATGTACTAAAGCTTCCGGGTCAATGACCCCATCTCGATCAGGTTTTTGTCCAGTTTCCCTGATACATTGAGCAAATGCTGAAATGGCCCCTTGTTTTATTTCTGGACATGAATGTAGCTTCACTATTCGCACGTTTTGTTGATCTCTTCGTTTGCTTGTAGTGGTAGGAGGTAAGGGCGAGTTACTATTTTCTTAGCTATGCAGAAAATCAAATCTGCAGTTCATTTTCTGTAGCAAAAACGTTGTCTATAACTCGGGAACGAAAATGACTAGTTTTTCATATGTCGCTAATCTCGCACATTTTTTAAATTTTATTTTAATTTATTTATCTTTAACTTTTACTCATCTTTCTACTACGTATAGCCAAATTATGATAAGGGATTCTGGAACTGAAGAAAACGTGCGCAGAATATCTTCTTCCCCATATGTCACACAGTTTTTACTGTTTTTTGACTAAATAAATCTAAATAGTTTACTCTAGCTCGTTGTTTACCTGTTTCGTGCGCGTACGTGTTCTTTCCGCCGATTTGAAATGGCGGTGAAGTGGCAACATTGGTATTGGATGGCGGGAATGGTAAAATACCCGGCTTGCAGAAATCGTGTATTATATTGGATGACCTGGATTTGTGATAAACTCCACATTAAAGCATGTTGGGTGTTTACGCATGTAATATGAGCGTACTTACTGGCAATCATCCCCCAGTAAACGCAATATAGACATGGAGAATATACCGAAGACTATGGTTTCGTGTAACGCAAGGAACTTGTGTGTTGCCGTAGATGTTTTTGAAAGGCAAATGAGGTTAGGAAACCGAAGAATGAGGTTATAAAGAGGCGAATACTTTACATGAATTGGTTTGTATTTCCAGATAATAAGGATTTGTCGCTCTCTGTGAAGAGTACTTTCAACCGGGTGATCAAGATTGTGCCAATATGCCGAAATACGAATATTGTTAATACAGTGATTCAAAATAGACATACGTAGTCCGTGAAAATGTGTGAATTGGGAGTAAAAGCAATCTCCTCTTGATCTTTGGTGTTTGTACAGTAGTGTGTCTCTAGACTGTTTTTCATTTTGTCGAAGCCTTTCGCATAAGCTAGTATTGTTTTATTTAATTTTCAGCGTCTACGCTGCTGAAAATGAATTATTTCCTTTTCTAATATAAAGTTGTTCGTTTACCTGCCCTCTGAAATTTGCTTAGTACTCATTTTTGGATTGTTAAATATAATAGTCAAACATGACGGACAACAAAGACACGGCCTCCGAAACTCAGAGTATTACTGCAAATCTCGGCCCTGATATTTCTACGACAGTTGAAAGACAAGCAGTTGTCGAAACAACATGCCCCAAAGAAGTAGTTGTTGTGTTACACAGGTTACCAGAAGGAACTGTCAATCGCATATTGTCTAGGCGAAGTTCTTCTTCAGACGTCGTGAAGAAATCGTCCAAGGATATTCTGGAAAAGTGTCTCCTACCTAAATTGGAAAGCCGCCTCACAGAGTGGATCAAGACTAAAGTTCAAAAGAATGGTGATCGTTTACTAACGAGAAAAGTTGTAAAGAGGGCAAAACGAATTTTTGAACGCTTAAAAGTACAGGGAGGTGAGAAATACAAAAATGTAAAATTTGTTCCTAGCAGAAAATGGTATTATCGTTACCGAATGAGAGCTGGATTGTATAATAAGGAGCTCTCCAAGAATCCATCTTTAATGAAAAAATGCCTTTGCAATGTTGTGTGCGAAGGTAAAAACGGGTCATTAACAGTAATACCTGAGAGTAGTGATGAAGATGACTGCTCACATACAATTATTAGTGATGGTGATGAAGACTGGTGCTCACGATTGAAGAGTGATTTGATTAATGAAAAAGCACGGGACCTGATGATAGACACTGTAACTCCATGTCCATTTTTGACTTGTACAAGTGGAGAAGACCAGAAGAGTACGTCAGGTAGATCTCTTCAAGAATTACGGAGGCATAGTGATACACCAATGCCAAATTTTGAACGTGAAATGGAAGTGGGATCTTTAAGTAGTGATAGTGATAGTGATCTGTTAGAAATTAGTGAAATAGTTTTTTGTCCTAAAGCAGCATCTTCAAGAGTAGATATATCAGATAAAATTGATGAGGATGTTAAACCAGTTGTAATCACTTTAGACGATGAAGTTCAGCCAACTAGTACTGCCTCCACGATTTCATTTGCGGCATTTGCCACAAACGGGTGCTCTTCCAGTGATAAAAAGTTTGTAGAAGTTGAAAAAAATGTTTCACAAGTACCTTTCTTCAAAAGTGTAAGCCCTGAAAATGAATCTGTTCCTCATTTCAGACAGAAGTTAGAGAGAATTATCAAGCAAGAGAAATTCGTTCCGCAACAGATATTCTGTGCCCAAGAGACAACTTTATATTGGAAATACATGCCTGCGAATTGTGGTGTTCTTGAACCTGGAATTGAAGAATTGCCTGAATCAAAAGATCCTATGATGTTATTGTTATGTACAAATGCATCTGGTGATTGTAGATTTGAACCAATGTTAGTGTACAGTAAAGAAGATCCACCTTCCATTCGACATTTGATAAAGTCTTCACTCCCTGTAATATGGAAGTTTCATCCAAGAGCAAAAATAACCAATTCATTGTTTGAAGACTGGTTTACATATAGTTTTGTTCCAACGGTCCAAGTGTATTGCATTGAACACCGAATCCCTTTTCAAGCACTCCTTGTATTAGATTCTGCGTTAAGTCACAATCCAGTTCTGGAATTTGCTCATCCAAATGTAAAAATTGTTTTCCTCTCTTCTGATGTAGCACCATACATACAGCCCATGGAATTAGGAATAATAACAACTTTTAAAGTGAATTATTTGAAGAGCATGCTTGAAATGATCACAGAATGTACAGAATTTAAAAATGGAGAAACTGCCCAATCGTTCTGGAACTCCTTTAATGTTTTAAGTGCATTAAAACTTATTAAAACTGCTTGGCTAGATGTTTCCCAAGTAGTTGTTACATTAGCATGGAGAATAATGTGTTTGGGAACTCTTCCTAAAGAGTCTGAGGAAGGAAATCCATTTTCAGATGCTGTTGCCCTAACTATATCTGCCGCTAAAAGTATGCAAGTTAATCTTTCTGAAAGAGACATAACAAATTGGTTGTACTATCAGTCACATGAACTAACAAGTGATGAGTTGAAGATGCTGGAACAGAGAAGCAGTGTCGAAGCAGCAAGTTCAGGAAATGAAGAAGCAACAAGTTCAGAAACAGAAAGACCGCTTGCAAGATTAACTACTTCAAAACTGTTGAGTGCCTTTACAAGTTTGAGAACTGCAATGAAGATTTTCGAGTTGGAAGATCCAAATTTCAAACGTAGTTCATTTGTAAATGAAGAAATCACACGAGCATGTCAGTGTTACCGAGAGATGTATTCCAAACTTAAAGAGACAAAGGGATTTGAGAATGAAGCAAGTAATGATTGTATAAAAGTTGAAGATTGTAGTCCTCCTTCGCAGACTAATTTTAAGTCTTCCCCTTCAATGCTCGTTAAGTTGTTTGGCTCCAGTAGTGTCAGCAGCTCTCAGGGGTCCAGATCTCAGTTAACATTTAATGGCAATAATGTGCAAAATTCAAAATAAAATGGTGAACTCCTTTATAACCAAATTTGTGATAACCTAGTACATGTGCTGAGATGGAAAAGTTGGTGTTAAACAAAAAAAGTAATATAAGTATTTGCCTTGGCATGGTTATTGTGCACCTGTAAATCTGAAAATCTCAAGGAAGTTAGAGTATTGATAAAAGTCAGTGAATTATATTAAAGCACTTGGAACATTATTTAATTAATAATAAACAATTTTTTATATTTAAGAAAACAAAATTATACATAAATAACTTTATTTTCCAAGTATTGATTTTTTCTTTGTTGGGTGCATAATTTCTGTCTATTTCATTCGTAATTTCAAAGTGTGTGCACAAATTTTAACAAAAGTTTACAATTTTGTTATTTTTGTGTTCTTAGTACTGATTTGCAAATAATTTCATGCGACTTGAACTGACCTTACATTGTTTTAAGTACAAACTGACTTAAAACATTTCTAGTTTTTTTAACATTGATTGTAAGAAATAAAATGTGTTCTCAATTCTTGTTTTTTAGTTATGTATAAGTCAAGCTACAATTATTCTGTAGAAATTTTTCTGATAAATAGAAATTCAATTTCAAGAAAAAAGAAACTTATTTTTTGAATATCTTTCAATATTCATATTTGGAGCCTGTTTTTATCTTGCATTTATTTTTGTTTTTGTTAAAGAGCCTGTGGTATGAAAAATGGATGCAGTATGATAACACTATAATGTGAAAAGTTTTCTGTTGTTGTTTCATAGTTCAATCAAGAAATTTCTATTTTTTAGCCGAAAGAGTATTTTAAATCAATAAATAATCTATAAACTTGAAAAGTTCCCATTTCTTCTTAAAATGGTTTCATATTCAAATTCTATCATTTTGTTTTTGTAACAAGATAATTATTGTAAAAATTAATATTTGTTGTGTTTTTTTCCCTTGCTGTGGTGTGTAGATTTTTCTGTCTCCATGTGTAGTTAATTTCCTTTTATTAAAGCTGAAACAATAATTGGCTTCAAATACCAATTTCATGCATATTTTTGAAAAAAAAAAAAAAATTATTTTTGAATTCTCTACATTTGTTTGTTACAATTTAATTCAAATATTTGATGTTTATTTGAAAGCTCTTTTTTGTTACAAAATTCCCAAATGAGTTCTATAGAGATCTTTTCTTTATAGAGAGTTACATTTCAAATAATTTAGTTGTTACTGCTGCAATTCAGTGTTAATTGTCTGTTTTGAGTACAATCAATTTCTTTGTGTCGATTATACTTTTCCATTTATTCATATTGATTCTTTAAAATACATTCTATATGTGTAATTTATAATATAGTGCTGACTATAGCGATTGTGTATGAAATTTGAATATGAGAACTAATTCATTCAGAAGTTGTTAAATACAATTATTGAAAGTGTGAGTGGCGTTGGCATGATGCAGATGTATTCTTCAGGAAAATGTTGATGCTTTATTAGACATCTGACAATTAGTAAATCTATGTTAAGTAAATTTTGATGTGTTGTTGTAAAACCATAGAAAGAAGATAAATACAATTAAGCCAATGACGTAAAAGTTTCTAAGTGAGTATTAGAATTTTTTAAATATGTAAATTATCCTCTTTTAAATTTATTTTAAATCTTTATTCAATTTTAATTAAGCAAGACTTCACTCTTTAGATAAGAATTATATTCAGAAATATAATGTAATCATGTTTGTTTTTTTAAAATTTGGTTCAGTAAATTTGATCAGAGACCTTTTTGTAAATTTAAAGAATCAAACAACTCACTTTGAGAACCTCCAAAGGAAGATTTTTGTGAAATTTGCAGAATATTTTGGCAGCAATCTTCAATGCTTAGGACTCTTGATGAAAGTCTTAATGTAACTTCTACAACTCATATAATCAAACTGAAATTCTGTTCCATACGACGGAGCATCTCAATACCTCATCACAATACCTGATATGTCTGAAAAGTATAAACAGTCAACTCCGGTTATAGTGACTCACGTTTTGGTTCACTTTATCAGAGGTACACTATATCTGATGATGCCAAAATCAATAGAATTTCTCCTTAAAGGTTGATGTTACTAATATAGAGATATAGCAAAATGCATTGAAAAAATAACCGAATATTTCAATATCTTAATTTCTCCTTAAATAATCTATTATTTTCAATTGTTTGCTTTGCACATTTTACATTACTAATTTCTCTAGACCCTTCTCCAGAGTACATGCTCTCCCCATAGTTGATTCTGCTTTGTCTTAAGTGTCATAATGCAGTCTCGACACCCTTCAATGCCTCTTGCACTGTTGGAACAGTGTCCCACTCTCTGAAGGCCCCTTTACTTGCCTAATAACATACGAGATGCTTTCGATAGCGGTATGGCACAAGCAGCAAATGAAACTGATCACTTTTCCATGCGGCACAACAGATATGACCAGGCTGTGACGGTCACATGCTTCGTGACTCGTACTTAGAACTTAACACACTAAGGCTACGTCCCACGGATGATCCATTAACGTTTTTTAAACGAGCAAGCAATCGCATGACACTGCCACCAGTTGTAGCCCAAGCAGGACACAGCCTTTGTTTCCGCTGTGGAACAGAGGTATAAGGTCGTCAGTCCACTACCTTCACCTCAGAGAAGACTTCTTCTGATATGACTTTCGGTCGATGTTACGCTTATTACGAACGAATCTTACGCTTATTTGTAATGTAAGTGAAAAGTTCACAATAACTGGAGTCGACTGTATTTTTAAGTTAGCCCTGAATTGTTCTGGAAGTATGGGCTATTCAAGAGTGTCTGTTTAAATTTTTGATCAGGTACAGGCAACAATAATTTGATAGTAAATATTTTGCTAAATTTCTGAAGCATTTTTTGTTTCAGCATATCCACTATATTTCTGTAGCATCCTTCCTTGGGATTTTGTGGATTCACACTGTTGTTTTTTTTTTCTTTTTCAGTACCATTGTATCTGTTGGATATGCAGTAATGGTTTTAACATTACTATTACTCAAATATATTAAAAAGTGTGCCTACAGAAAACGAGAGACCTGAGGATCCACAAGGACCCAAATCAAAATTGCCCCTCCAATGCATAAAAACAAATAATTTCTTCTTGCAATCGAAATAACTTGCAGCAATTAGTAGAACATTTTTTATTTGCTTTGAATGAAAAAAATCAGGGCTCTAAATTTACTCTGATTTAATTGACAGGAGCTTTATTACTTTTTTTATTAATTTATTCAAGCTTGGCCTGTGCAGCTACATTAGTCAATTACAATAGATATAGAATATTTGTAAGATATTATATGATGTTTAGATATTATATGATAGTTAAAGATATAAAATAATTGTGGGTTTAAAAAGGTAATAAATGAGAAAAGACTCATCGATTACCCATGGGAGGGTTGAAAGATTCTCTGGGCAACTTTCTTTTTACTGTTTAATGATGGGTAGTCTGCTTACCTAGCTGAATGTGAATTACTGAAGGAATCTAATATTTTATAAAGAGGAGGGAAAAGTGAAATGGGGATGAGTTTTTACACTGAACTACTGAACTTTCAGTATTGAAGCTCCCAATTAGATAACCATGTCCCATAAGCAAATGTCAGAAGTCACGATAATTAAATTGGAGAATAAATCGGGGTGTGGGTCGTGTTGCCACAGCAACCCTCCCCCCCCTCTCAAAACTTTTTGGGTTTTTTGTATATTTAGAAATTTTGTAAATTTTCAGTATACATTCCTGCATATTTTAAGTACTACTCTCCAATGAACTAGGTGTAACAACATGGAGTTACTTTGAGCTATGAATTTTGTATGTAACACAATATCTCATGGAAATATAATGTGTGTGTTTGAAACTCTTTACTGTGATGTGGGTGCCAATCGGAACCCACTTATACAATTTGTATGTTGAATCCATGTCAACTGAAAAATTGAAAGCATTGTGATGTACTCACAGGACTTGTATCTTTGTGCCTAGGATCAATGTTTTTTGAATTGTTTTGATTTCCAGTTTCTGCTGACTTCTCTGTTTTGGATATATAGTTTTACAAGTATAACCAGCAAATACAATTTATTTATTAATTTGTAAAGCTTTTGAAAAAAATAATACTTCTTAAGATTTAGAATATTCTTTATTTCTTACAAATTGAAGCTTTGCTATGTTTTTTTTTCTGTGTTTATCTCGGTAGTCGTGATTTAGAAACACCTAACCATTGCATTTTATGTGCAATGAAGGTGGTTTCATTTCTGAATTAACTATTACATACCTTGCTGTTCATTTTCTATTTGTGTGTTTCTTTGTAATGTATTAAAGTTACAATACATCTTTACTTCTACATTTCATGTGAAATCATTTACATAACTCCCAGTACTTTGCATGTGTTTCATGATCAGTATTAAGTGCATGGGCAGATTCAGTTTATTTTGTATTTTGCTTTATTAAGGGAAAGAGATATCAATGTTTGAATTTACTACTTATTAAACTTTAAAGAAATAATGAATAAGTTAGTATATTATTAAATTAATCAGGCCAAGTTCTATAAAAAATAGTTCTGAAAAGATTACATAGAATCGCATTATATAATTTATTTGTCATAGGAATGCCATCAGTAACTCCCAAGGATCCATTTTCAAGAGACCAAATGAAACGTGCAACAGTAATCAGAGTAGTGCCTTAATCTGGGTGACCACTTTCTGGAAAACCAGAAAAAATCAGGGAATTTGTGGAAGAATTGTTAAAGTCTGGGAAATTTTTTTAGGGATTTTAAAACTAGATATAATTCATTAAAAACATTTGTTCAGTGTTATTTTTCACTCAATTTTTATTTGATGAAAAATATTGTTAACTTGTACTTTGTCATGACAAATTCAATGAGCTTACAATTTAGAATCTAAGTAGCCTTTATACTTTTTTAAAGTAGTATGAAATTGCAAATCTTATCAGGAAAAAAAAAATTAAATGCTCTGGTAAATCAAGAAAAGCCTGGGAAATTTGTTTCAGAAAACAAGTTGCCACCCTGTTAATTCACCAAATCTTCCTTTCTTCTCCTCTTCCACATCCCCCTTATTCACCTTATTGATGACACCCTCTTCGTTGTTATTCTTTATCTCTTTCCTGCATATTATTTTTAATCCGTGGCCCACTATTGACTACTCATTTTATAATGAAACTATTCATTTTGTAACAAGCAAATTTGGAAATAATTTATGGCCTCCTGTTAATTACTATCAATATCAGTTCGTCACCTTTTGCTGAAGGGGCCGTCTATACATTACGTAATGCAAATGTGAAGATTTTTGAATACTCTCTCTCCCCATTGTAAGGCATGCTTGAATCCCCCACCCACTAAATAATTACATAAATCTTGCGATAACACCACCATTATAAACACAAGGAGTGAAATTGAATTATAGCACATTAAAAAAAAAATTGTATTTATTTTATTTGTGTTGTATATTAAAAATTATGATCTCTAAAGTCTGAGATAGTTTCCAATGCCGGCAGAGTCTAATAATTAGATTGGGGAAAGTTTTGCGTGGAGGAAGGACGCATAGGCGAGAAAATTTCTAGTCACAAGCCATGCACTGTTGTGGATGGTGCATGGGCGAGAGTCCACAGCACCAATTTAATTGTATTCTAGAAAATATTGCAGATCAGTTTTGTGAAAATTTTCTTTGTTATCTTATAGATCCAATACAAAATAGATGGAAAAATACTTCCATTTATTGTAACAACTTCTAATAACTATAAATTTTTTTTAAACAAAATAATTAGATAATATTTTAGTGTAAGAGTCAAAAAAGGAAACCTTAAAAATGTTAAAAAATACCAATGTTACTTTACACCAATCAAATATCCCCTACCCTCATGTAACGCTTTCAGAAATCCTTTTCCCATTCCCTCCCTCCCTGTAGCATTACGTAATTTATGGACAACCATAAACGGCAAGTAGTCAAATTGAAATGAAAATTATTTTCGTTGAATTTTTCAAAAGTGAATAGAATGAAAAGTGATAATTTTTTCCTTTTTCGACAACATAAGTCATCTAAATCACATCCAATGTGTGGTCTCACGGCGGAAAAGTGATAATTTTTACCTTTTTCAACGAATATAAATCGTCTAAATCACACCCAATGTGTAGTCTCGCGGCGGAAAGCGAAAATTTTTAACTTTTTCGACGAATAATAAATCGTCTAAGTCACACCAAATGTGTGGTCTCACGGCGGAAAAGCGAGAATTTTTACCTTTTCCGACGAATATAAATCGTCTAAATCACACCCAATGTGTGGTCTCGCGGCAGAAAAGCGAGATTTTTTACCTTTTTCGACGAATATAAATCGTCTAAATCACACCCAATGTGTGGTCTCGCGACGGAAAAGTGATAAATTTTACCTTTCTAGAGGAACAAAAATCGTCTAAACGAAATCCACCCTGTGGTGTGGTGGCGTTGCAGGCGGGGCGCGGCGAGTGCCGCGTGACGGAGTGCGCGCCGCCGCCGGCGACGGGGTGCGGCGCTGGGGAGCGGCTGGCGGTGGCGCCGGGCGCCTGCTGTCCCACGTGCGTCCCCACGCCCACCCCGGCGCCCGCCGACGCCGCGCACGCGCAGTGCGTTTCGCGCGGGGAGACGTTCCGCCCGGGCCAGCGCTGGGTGCGGCGCGAGGGCGGCTGCCACAACTGCGTCTGCCAGGTGGGCACTTCTGCTGCGGCGCTTCCGCTGGCAAAGCATTGGTTTAAATGGAAGTATTCGCACAAGAGGCGTAGTCACGCTGATGTGGCGCTTACGGCCCCTTACACGGAGCCACTAGGTGGTTGGTTCAAATCAGCGTTGGCAAAGCATTGGTTTAAATCAGCGGTCTCACACTTTTTTCGATCGTCGAGGCCTCTTAAAAGAATTGTTGGTTCCATTGCCTGACTTACTTTATTCTCTGTAATATATGATGCATAATTGTAGCACAAAAATGCTTAAATATCTTAAATATAATAATTTATTTCACTAATATGTAGATAAATTAGATTAATATTTAGATTGTCATTAATCGATGACGCTTAGACTTTTGGATAGCTGAGTTTCTTAGGTTGTGCTTGTTCATTGTGGTACAATTGTAACAAAATTTGGAACGTTTTTAAATGGCCTTAACATGTCTCTAATACGTTTAGCACGAAGTTTTCTGATATGGAACATCAAAACAGATAATAAATGACAAATTCGCTTCTCTTCTTTGCTATATAATGTTTCAAAAACATAGTTATAATTTTTCGAGTTTTCTAAACATCCTAAGCTATTGCGTACCTAGATTCTGTACCCCAGTGCAGAAAGACGAAATGGGGCCCCTTTCTGCAATTATCATCAAATTGAGAGTTTTAAATGTAATTAGATGCAGAGGACGGTCCAATGGAGAATATAAGTATGGAGTTCAATTTTTTCGTTATCAATTATCCGTCCGTGGGGGTTGTTACATTATGGATACCTTCAGAGGACCGGTACATTACATCGTTTGCACAAGCCTAGCTACGTCCTGATCATAAGAATGAACGACGGATACGAAAGAAAAAAAGGGAATTTGTAATTTACGCAATATGTTCTACATCAGAAAGAAATTATCTACTTCAATTAATATTTTTTTGTAAACAATGGGATCTTTTTTTTATTATTATTTTCTATTTAAGGTCGCATCAACTTCTAGGTCATTAGCGACCACTATTGCTTGTAACGGTATGGTAACTGTGGGTTGACACGATAATGATGATGATAGGGGGTGAAAGGACGAAACACAATACAACCATGCCCGAGGCGGGACTCGAACCCGCGATCCTTCTGTCCGAGTTCGCTACGGTACTACTGCCTTAGCGAATGGGATCTTGATTGTACAGGTGGTACTATTTATCGTTCGCCGAAGATTCAGGCCGCGTCCCTCTGGACGTTGAGGGCTCGCTCGCATAGCGAAGCGCTGACAAACGGGACCTAACGCTGAGCTTAATGAAGATGCAGAAAATAGTGTCCTTTGGCTCGAGTTTCTATTTGGCCCCACCGGAAGATTTTTCGTAATCTCTTTTCTGATGAAGTATTTTATCGGAGTGAATACAACAGCCAAAACAACCGCAATTGGAGACCAGAAATCCCTCATCGGCGGTGCACACCTTCCGCGTGGTGCTAAATGTCCTTACAGTCGATTAAAATATTCATTCCTTTGAGACTCGGTCAGCTGTGAAGCAGTCATCTAATCGGGTACTTCAACATCGCCATAGTGACGTCACTATACGTCGCGATCATGCCCTGCTGTGAGGCTGTAATCCAATCGGAAGCTTTAACGTCACAGTAGTGACGTCACGCTGGTGACGTTCAAGCTCCCGGGCTAAAAGTCCCAATTGTCGATTAAAACATCAATTCTTTTGAGACACGGTCAGATGCGACGCAGTAATCCAAGCGGGTGCGTGAACGTCGTCATAGTGACGTCACTATAGTTAGCTATGACTCGGTCATGGCCAGCTGTGTGGCTGTAATCCAATCTAGAGCTTGAACGTCATATTAGTGTCGTTTAAGCTACCAGGCTAAAAGTCCTTATAGTCGATTAAAACA